TCACTAACTGTTGGTAGATTTAATTCGAGTAGGAATTGCCGAAAGGTTCCGTTTGAAAAGAGTTAAATCTCAAGGTCGGTATTCCGCCGCTCTCCCAGGAATATTGGCTCGACAATTGATTAGATTGATTCTTTACTCGGGATCCCGAAGTAGTAATAGGAACCATTGCTTTACAGGAATTAAAAGCAGATAGTTCTTTAAAAGAACAAATCCGGGAAGAGATGGAGGATTATAAAGATAGTAAAGATAATCTAATCTTATTAGATCGCACTGTTTATGGAGATGGGAAAGAATTTACCGAAGATGGAATTGTTAAATATTAGTTCATTGTGTGTTGATGTTAAGGTTAGTTTATTAGTTATAATTTTCCTTTCTTCTTGATAAATTTCATAAGTTATTTTTTCTTGATATATGATCTAGATATTCTTCGAGAATTTCATTTTAAAAACGTATGGAGCAATTTTTTCTCCCTGAGCTTTTTTTAGAATGCTTCTAATGGTGCTGTAATTTTTGGGTTCCATAGTGGACTTAATGTAAATTAGTTTCATATTAATATTTTTATATATAGAGGTAATCCTATATCAACCCTATTATGGTTTGTATTCATCACCTTCTAATATGATAAAGGGAACATTAAAATTAACAAGTCCATAATAATAAGTAATGAATGAGCACCATTATTACTTCAAAATGTTATTAGTCAAATTAGTTAACTTTTAGCCACATCATAATCAGCCTCACATTTATATCACATAATACAATGTTCACTTTGTCTGGTTTTGTTGCATACAGAACATTAGAGATAATGCATATGTATTAAGTATTAGCATTAGGAAATCGTCTATTAATATCTCTAAAGTGTATGATAATACATTAACATTGAATAATTTTAACAGAGCATTGGACAATGAACCAAATGACCACTGATATTGAGTAGAAAAAGAGTTCTCTACATGTCTAAAACAAGATGACATTGATTAACTTAACAGAGTGTTGGGGATGGAACTGAATGAATATGCATTAATATTAAACATTAACGTTAAAGTCGTGTCACGTGATAAACCGCAGCTATTATTATTATTAATTCTGGCTGGTGGTTCATTTGCGAGTCACTCTACTTTACCTGTTACTTAGTATTAACTCTTTTTCTTTACGCAGCATCATTTCACCGATACAAGGAATATGATCAGATGACTCAATGAGGAACTCACGTGATTATATGAGTAACACGATATAGATCCCAGCGCGTCGAAACCTTACTAAACGAATAAACTGAAATGAACGAGAGCGGTACTACGAGTACTCTCAAAAACCACTTCCGCTCCTCCAAACGGGGAACCGGACACGTACTTGCAAAGAGCACAAAGGTTTGTTTTTGATATTCGTGTCGATAAACTTTTTACGCGATTGGACATTAAGTTTTACGGCAGTTCTGCTGTTATGATAGAACTATAGATACGATTATAAACGTCCTCAGCCGTTAATTAATCAATTATCATTTATTATTAGACTGTTATCGCATCTGTCAAGGATACGGAACCACCACAACAAAACACTAAAAAACGCGGGAACGCTGGTCCAGAGTCTAATACCACCAAGAGTCAAAATAAAAAACCAAAGCTCGAGACTGATAAAGACAAAAATGAGGCCACAGACAAGTCACTTCGTCGTTCTGGCGAGTTTTTAAGATTGCCTTCAACTTACGAAACATTAGAGAAAATATTCCAAGCTCTAGAAACTGTAATGATGTTTGTGAAGTCAAAAAATGAGATTTGTATCTTTCATAAAATCAAGAAAAGTGTTGAAGGACTTTGTAGAAGGTATAGCGCTTCATTAAGTTATATGCTTATTTTATCCACGTACCAGTACATTCGAGCTCAATTTTGAACCGTATTAATTCTAACACCATCAATCATCGTCCAATTGTCGATGTCAAAATTTCTTTTTCTAGGACATTTGATTTGACTCGGCTGGCGCAAATAATATCAGTCTATCCCGAAGCTTACACGTACAAGCCCATCCGACATTTTCACCAAGACAAATTTGTGCTCTCATATGTTATCGATTTCAATACCATCGCTACTTCTGAATCCTCATCAAAGGCCTCGTCATCTGCGTTTATGGTCAGCACGCGAGAGCGGAAGAAAGTCTTTCGGAATCGATTGATTGAATTGGTGAAACTAGAACAAACGGTATGACAGAGGGCATTTTTCCGCAATACGTGTAGAAAATAGCGCTTACGTTCTTATTATTCAAAAGAAATTTTTGAAGCGGCAAAACATCAAAGAAGAAAAGACAGAGGCAATTCGTCTATGGCATCCGGAATTCGTTCTTAACAGCGCTCCGGAAATTGTGCCCGTAAGGTTGCCGCAGATTGATATTACGACCGTGAGTACGTTAATAAAAGTCTTGACAAACAGCGGCATCGTAATACATAATTATAAGCAAATGATTTGACTTGAATTTTTAAATGATTTCTACGTTATAGAACGATCTTACCAATGCTACCAAACAAGCAAGTTCAATCACTGCAAAACATAGTATTACACCTGTAATAAATAAGAGTACTCTTCCACCCATCCCTTCTAAACCAAGTGGGGACACTAAAGCCAGAGAGAAGGCCATATTGGACCGAGTAAGTAGTGGATGGCATCTTTGACAAGACAATGGTAATTGTGCATATGAATAATGCAACGTTAAATTTTGACAGATACGCGAAAAAGAGAGACAAGCAGCTCAGAGGAAGGACGCGACAACTTTGCCTATAGACAAGCAGAAGAGGTTGATGCTGAGTCGTTTGCCTGACATGATTAACACAATATCATAGTAAGTTTATTGTCGTCGTTCCGTGTGATTATATTAATTTATCAGATGAAGGTTGACAAATTCCATTATCAGTCTGTTTACATCGTCTGATAAAGATGTAATGGTGTTGCATAGAGTAGCTGAAATAGTTTCGGACAGCTATAGTAGAAAACTCATAATCTCCAAAGGTGTGTTAGTTTTTGTCTTTATTATAATCATTATCATTATTACAATTTCTATTATGATTGTTTGTCTCACGTCTTGCTACATTAACTTCACAGCTGAGGCTGAAGATCACATAAGATTGGTCAGCACCTGTCTCCCTGACTGGTGTACAGTATTTCCAGTACAAAACAAGGGCACGTTTGTGAAAATAAAGAGATCAATCCCTATGACAGAAGTGAAAAGTAAATTGGCAGAATGTCTCAAGAAAGAAGGTGTTCGAGAATAAGGAGGTGAGTCTGTGTTAATCGTGTTATTTGGCAAGAAAAAAGGATGGCAATTCACATGTCATTATTATAGGACTATACGTAGATAACTATAATAAATAATATTGAATACGTCTTCTTGATATGCTAACATCTTTAACGTCATAAAAATGTTACTGCGGATTGTAAAACTCTCAGAGTATTAAAAATTGGCACACTAAAGAGAACGCACTACGCTGTTAAACACTTAATTTTAGTTGTTCATACATTATCAAACCGAGAATTTAGTTTGACATCTCACATAGGAATTAATTGTCCTTGGACCTGATATTCATTGAACAGTCTCCGCTTATCGGTAAAGCAAAAAAAACTTTTTTTTTTCCCAAGAGCATAATTAGTCGTAATTTACACCATCCGTAACGTCAGATGGAAATTGACTTTTTCATCAGTTAAATTGACGCCAAGTCGAGACACAATATTATGATGATAATAAGAATGATTTTCGAATACTATGGGATATTAAATGCTTCACGTGCAAAAACAAATATGCATAACGCTAAACATGTACGCGTTTTTAACCAAAACAGAAACACAAACGCGTCAAACTCAAATCTTTATAAAATGTTAATTCCTTCTTTTCCCACCTGAAAGAACATACTAAAGACCCTTGAATGGAAAACGTACTAGCGAGACCACCTGGATCACAGAAGATTCCTGCACAGGTTGGGAATGTGTTCATTGCAAGTAAGTTACCAGGTAAACTGACGAGTGGAAAATACCTAAAGCAAGATAAGTTCGATAACGGTCGACGAGCGCTTGGGACGATAGAGAATGTTGATGAGAACGCGGGTCAGTTGGAGGTTTGTTAATATTGCCATTCGTTCTGTACATGATCGTTTTTCACTTGCTTTATGTCATCTTTTTGACCATAAGCTTTTTTTCAGAAACTAAAGGAAAATGATCCTATCCTCGCCATAAAGGTGCTCGACCGTGCTCATTCTAAGGCTCCTATAGTGAAACAACTCCGAAATGAACTTCAAGAAGCTCATTCTCACAATCAAGTTCTTGAACAGAAGCTGCACTCTCTTCAAGACGAGCAAACACGAACGCAGGAGGAAATGTCTCGATTACTTGCTAAAATACGATCCTTTCGACGTTTTGAAACGCGTCTTCAGAGTTTTGACAATAGGCTACGGGTAATTGAAGACAAAGAATGTGAACCGTATCCGTTTGAATTGGATGCGAGCGATATAGAGACAAGCGTAGATATTATTGAAGCGAGAATCGAGTACTTGGAATTACCAAAGCATGAGCGACATGGACAAGCGCATAGAGATAGTATTGTGGAACAAGAGTTCATAGGAGGAACTAAGCGAAGTGAACAAAGTGACCTGCTAGAGGACATAATGGTTAACAGAGAGGAATATGCGGCCGTCGTTGAAGAGAGAGAGAAATATAAGAAGGAAGCGGAAGAGAATTGGCAGATAGTGAAAGAGTTGGAAGGAATGTTGATGGAGAAGAATGAGGAGATTGAATATTTGCAAGGACAACTCAGTAAAGCTGACAACGAATGCTAATCCAATATGTACTTTATGCCATTGTAATGAATGTTAGACGTGTCACAATCAAATGTATCGGTTTATTCAAATATAATAATAAACATTCTGCTTCAAAGCAATTTCTTCAAGTGACGCACAAAAAAAAGTAGTTTTCGACGTACACATTGTCGCTTGATGTGGTGAAACATGTTCGACAGAGTTAGCGCGTCATTAATGAAGGAAGGGGTTACATAAGCTCAGAAGATGGAAAGGAGAATTTTACGTTGGAAGAATTTTAGTCCGACGTCATATCGAGCAATCATTTGGTGATCATGGAATTAAAGTTCATTACTGTCATAGTAATACATCAATTGGAATGAAAGACAACAGTTACGGATGTGCGAGGCACGCATTAGAATATTTATCACATAAAATCAGTGGTGCATCGAATGTGATGAATGTGTTTCTTTTTGTTTTTATTTATTTAATTTTTACAATTATTCTTGGAGAGAACTTTGGCCAAATTATATTACAAAGCATATCGTACAAATTAATTTAGATGTTAAAAAGTCATCAATATGAGTTTGAAATAATATGTCCATGCGTCCCATCATCATATATTTCATGCTGACAACACTTCGTCGTAAAGCGATTCGGGATAAAACGTAAACCCTGTAACGAACTTCATCATTTCTATTAAAATTAATTATATAAAAGGAGGGGGAAGACTTGCTTTGGACGTTATTTAAATATAGTAGAGCCCTGCTGATTAGTGATAGCAATTTCGTCCCATGTGTAGAAGTTCTTTACCCAAACAATCAAGCCAAAAACTTATTCTTGACCTTTTAAATTGGTATTTGAAACTCACTAGGCTTCTTTTTACTTGAAAAGATCATATTTTGAGCAGTTCTCCTGTCTTGACCAAATATCAAAAAATGTACGTGGTATGGTTAAAAAGTGTCTGTTTCCCCTGTTGCTCATTAAACTTGTTTGAGAAGAGAAGCTATAACTTCTACATTAGCAATTCCCAAGCTGAGAATTGATAAATTTATTCACGTGTGACAGACATCATTAAACGTCTTTTTGATGCTCTGGTCTATGATTCGATTCATAATCAACGTGAACAAAAGCTCTCTCCACAAAAGGCATACTTTCCAATTTTACTTGCAAAGACTCTCCAACGTCATGGGCTATCCAGAGAGGAGTTTCTCTGTCCAAGACTATGTCGACTTCCACATACAATTTGCTTCCAGAATAATACGCTCGGCAGGTATCGACTTGTAGAACTCTCTCATCATGTGTTAAAGCTGAAACGTGCACGAGGGTGAATCAGACATCAAACATGTAATTGTATCAATAACAAAAATCATAGGACATACAACACCACTCACCCATGTACGTCAATTTTTTTAATATTGCAGGATCGGCACTTTTACCAGCAATTAATTGTATTTGATCTGTTGCAAATATACGAGCAGAAAATGAATTCAGTCCTCTCAACGAAAAGACCTGACAAAGTAATCACTTCATTGTGAAACTCACCGCGGGCGGTCATTATCCAACTTCTCAATATAATTAAAGCCACGAAAATAGCACCGACAGGGTCCAGCCACCAAATAAGCTTTCCCCCGAGCAATGACATGGTCAAACCAAAAAAATTTATCAACAAATCGTTGCGATGATCTTGAGCCAACACCTTAGCAGTCGGCCAGTGTCGTTGCGTATAGCAATATAGGAATAACCCAAACTTGGTGACTAATGTGCAATTAGATAATTCTCTTAGTGGAATGCAAGATGAACTACATACCAAGTTATTATAAAAATAAAGAGATTATACCTAAAGCAACGCATATACATACTATGGCTATTGTGTTAACATCAAATTTTTCGCCACCGTGAACTAGAGTTTTAACAGCCTCAATCTATTTTGATCAAATTTGTTTGTTATATCAAAGCGTCATACACAATCGTTTGAATGACAAGGTCTGTTGCCCAAAACTCACCAGCAATTGAATGGAAACAGTGGACATGAAAGAAGAAAATACAATAATTCCAGCAGTTTCCATACGTGCCTTGCCCTAACGGTACAAAAACCAAACATTTAGCGATATTATCATTATTCACAAAATTCAGAATGAGATATCGGCTTACCGTAGGATATTCTAAATAGTTTGTTGCATGTGCAGCTCTTCCGGCAAATAAAAGAGTACCATTCGATAAAATATCCATAAAAGAGTCTGCCATTGTAGCAAACAGTGAAAGCGACCTAGACGAGATTGCCGCGTACAGCTGCAAACCAAATAGGAAAATATTTACAATCATCGAACCGTTCACGGCGAGTTTTACCTAACCAGGTGATTATTAAAATGCATAATTGAATAATCAAGTTTGCAAAATAAATTCGATGCAGCGTGTCGACAACTCGTTTGAATCAGAATAATAAATTCGAGTTACTCTTACCCTCAACGAATCTACTCGTTTCTCTTCTTCTGTTTGCTGCACAACAGATCCCAACAATTCATCAATCAATTCATTTTGATCTCTATAAAACTCCTGCACCTTCTTCCCCTTCGTTTTTATTTCTTCTTCCGACTTTCGCCTGCGACGCAATTTAAGTGGATCACTTGATGAAACGGATGCTGATGCAATAGAACGCTCTTCATCAACCACATCTGTATTGGCAGTCGACGCAAAGCGTAGGGATAAAGATGATTCGCTTTTCGGAATTGCTGTTGTTTGTGCAGACGTACCAATGTCGGGTAAAACCTCAGGAGAAGTTATAACAACTGTCGTACTAGTACTCATGTTTATAATTTATGGTATCCTTGGCTGTAAGAAATCCAAACGAGCATACGTTAAAGAAAACGGTTCCAAATAACTTTCGCAGACTAAGTTTTAGACGCTGTGTTTAATTTTAGATGATTCCAGACTTCTCTCTCGCTACAAAGGTGTCGGACAAATTTATTTATCTTTGATGGCGTAAATGAATCATCCAATAATAAATACTACGATCGATGGATTACCAAGTCGTACAGGCGGCCTCAGTCACGTATCGGCTAAAAGAATATGTTCTTGTGACAATCGATTACAGTTCATACAATAATAAACGTTGCTCTCAGCTGCTTAGGCTAGAGAATCTGTGATCAATTTGTTGTAGAAATAATCTTTTTACAATCTTATGAAATGAGGAAACTATCTACCAAACAGTTTACATGACACGTGTATAATTTTCTGTTTATGTATAATCCATTTTTCATTTGGGTAAATTACGATCCACGCGATACTAATACAACTATTTCCCTCATCCAATGGTTATCATACCGTGAACTCATGACATGTCAAGTTTCCTGGTAGATACATCAAACGTATTACTCATTATTTATATTATTTAGTATTGGATTTTTTCGCAATTCGTTTATTAGGCATAGTGGTGCTGAATTCTCACGATTTAGGTAAATGGAAATTGAATTATTCGAATTTCAAGGTGTATACGGCCATGTACACTCACTACCAAAAAGTATTGGCCGAGATTTGCTGATCAATAGTAAAACATATGAAAAACCTTTTTTTCCCGAA